CACATGGATGAGAATCCCCTAGAATGGCCGGCCATATAGGATAGAGGAAAAGAGGAGATTTAGTTTAAAAATTCAAATAGGAGATAATTAACAAGCTTTATCTTAGAGATAGAGATTGGATTCCTTCTAGAAGTTTGACTTCTACTCTATAAATACTATTTTTGAGACAATTTTCGGAATGGTTTTTTGCCCTAATTTTAGAAACAATTTTTCAGCCCTAAGGGTTAAGGCTGGCCGAAATTTTCAAGAGAGAAAGGAAGGAAAAATTTTTCTCCAAAAATTCCACATCGTGCATGTGATGGTGTTTGTGGAAATTCGAGTGTTTATTGTAACCCGTTTTGTCTCATGTGTGCCCACACACACGTCTTCGTGGATTCTAGGAATTGATGTGGAAGACATTGGTTTTCTAAACACAAAGATTGGAGCAAGGACTGTTCGTGGTCAAAGAACTCAAGTTATCATCCGAGTCGGCTTCCAGGTATTTTTCCTGATTGAGTTCTTGATATATATAAGTTAATGAGATTAATTTATTCGTGCATAAATTAATATAATCTATAGAGTATCTCAAAAGTTTTATGAAAATTTTTGTTATACACGATCCGCCTCTTCCCCGCACCACCACGCTTCCGCAGCCGGATTCGATTCGGCAACCAACAGACCTGTGGAAGGAATCGGCGGAAGCAGCAACCGTACAGGTGGAGACCATGGAAGGTAATGTCGATCTTTCACTTAACTCCCTTCGGGGATTTGCCTCCGTAAAGACCATGAAATTGTGAGGAACCATCGGCGACAGGGAAGTTATCGTGCTGGTCGACAGTGGGGCCTCCCACAGTTTCATTTTGGCTGAGCTGGTGTGGACTCTGGCCCTACCAACGGATTTATCCGTGCGGCACAAAATTCAGGTGGGCAACGACATGAATTTTCAACAAAAAGAGGTGTGCCGTGGGGTGCGGATTCACGTACAAGGACACTAGGTGATCGAGGACTTCTTCCCGTTTGAATTAGGCAGTGCGGAAGTAGTTTTGGGAATTACGTGGCTACGTACCCTGGGTGAGGTTTGGGCAGATTGGGTGAATTTCACCATGAAATTCCAACAGGAAGGAAGTTGGGTACAGTGGACCGGGGATCCATCCCTCAACTATTCACCGGTAAGTTTCCGTTCCTTAACTCGCTTTTATCAAGCACGGGAGGTGGGGTGCTCCTGGAATTAAACACTGTAGGGGCATAAGGGCTTGACGTAAAAATGCACAACTTGCCTCTAGAATTTGATGGACTTATCCGGCGTTTTCACCACGTCTTCGATACCTCAAAAGGGCTGCCACCGTATCGGGCGAAGGATCACTGGATAATCCTGCGAGAGGGGGCGACTCCTCCCAACATTCAGCCCTACAGGTACCCGCAGATACAAAAAGGGGAAATAGAAAAATTAGTGTCGGACATGCTGGTTTCAGGCATCATCAGGCCTAGCAGTAGTCCTTTCGCCAGCCTGGTACTTTTGGTTAAGAAAAAAAATGGTAGTTGGAGATTTTGTGATGACTACCGAGCCTTAAATCAGCTCACGATTCCGGATAAATTCCTGATTCTGATCATCGACGAGCTACTGGATGAGCTACATGGAGCTTCAGTTTTTTACAAATTGGATTTGAAGGCAGGTTACCATCAGATACGGGTGCGGGAAGGCGACGTGGAAAAAATGGCGTTCTGCACTCACGAGGGGCATTACGAGTTCCTCGTTATGCCCTTTGGCCTCACCAATGTGCCGGCCACATTTCAATCACTAATGAACATGGTATTTCGCCCTTTTCTCCGCAAATTTGTATTAGTTTGAAGTTCAATATAAACGGGGTGCAGCAAACAAGGCCGTAGATGCCTTGTCTCGGTGTGGAATTGCATCAAATATCTCCCTCGCAGCCTTATCTATTCCCCATCATTTTGACATTGAGGGCCTTAAAAAAGACCAACAAACAGATCCGGACTGTGCCATGCTTATTTCTGCTGTGCAGCAAGACCAGCCCCTGCGGGAGGGCTTTGGCTTTCGCCAAGGGCTGCTCTATTTTCAGGACCGCGTGGTCCTGCCCCCATCATCGGCTTGGATCACACGGGTGCTGCATGACTTCCATGACTCGGTGGTTGGGGGGCACTCAGGTTTCCTGCGGACATACAAACAGATAGCAGCCGTTTTCTTTTGGAAAGGAATGAAAAAGGCCATAAAGGATTATGTGGACAAGTGTGAGACGTGCCAACACTCGAAAACTGAAGCTTTGTCGCCAGCAGGGTTATTACAACCACTGCCTATTCCAGCTCAGATTTAGGAGGATGTCTTTATGGATTTTATCGGTGGCCTTCCAAAGTAATGAGGGATGGATACTATTTTAGTCGTCGTCGATCGCCTATCCAAGTATGCACATTTTTGTCGCTTGGCGCACCCATATACAGCCGTCCAGGTGGCTGCCTTGTTTGTTCGTGAGATCGTCCGATTACATGGATTTCCCTGCTCCATTGTCAGTGACCGCGACACAAGGCTGCACCCAAGCACGGCTTATCATCCCCAATTGGACGGCTAAACGAAAGTTACAAATCGGTGTTTGGAAACGTATGTCTGATGCTTCGCCTGCGACAAGCCGCGGCAATAGCTGTCGTTTTTACCTTGGGCAGAGTATTGGTTTAATACTACATATAATGCTTCAACCAAACTCCTTTCCAAGTAGTGTATGGTCGTGATCCTCCCCCCTGTATCATTTTCCCGAAGGTTCAACAGCCGTTAATGAGGTCGATGTCCAGCTCCAGCAGCGCAATCTCATGTTAGACACCCTTAAGGATCATTTGCTCTTAGCACAGCAGCGCATGAAGCATTTTGCTGATCAGCACCGCAGGGAGGTCAACTTCGCCCCTGTTGACCTGGTTTTACTAAAGTTGTGGCCCTATTTCATGAGGTCACTGGCATGCAAAGTCAATGAAAAACTTAGTCCTCGCTTTTATGGACCTTTTACCATTCTGGCTAAGGTTGGGCCAGTTGCTTACCACCTCAAATTGCGGGAGAGCTCTAAAATCCACCCGGTCTTCCACGTATCTCAGCTTAAAGCCTTTAAGGGACAACAGTACATCGGTTTGGCCTTGCCGGAACAATTGACTGATGAGTTGGAGCTCCTGGTTTAGCCGGTTTCAATTTTGGACTCTCGGTCTGTGGCTATAGGGGGCGCCAAGTACAAGAGGTATTGGTGCAGTGGAAGGGGTTACCGCAGGAGGATGCTACCTGGGAGCCACTGGTGACCATTGCTGAACAATTTCCAGACTTCGACCTTGGGGACAAGGTCGGGCTTGGGAGGGGGGTAATGTTAGCACTCTAGCCCTCAGGTTTGTGTATGTGAGAAGGAGTAAGAAGGAGCAGGGGCAGGAGGGGAAATTGGTTAACACTGGATCAAGGCAAGGGTAAGGGGCGTCGTTAGAATACGGTTATGGGTTATGGGGAGGTGTGCAAGGGTCAGATAGAGGGAAGGGGAGTTAGTTAGAGGATTGAGAAATAAATAGCCTACGGCTAGAGAATGGATGGCATCGAGAATTAAGAGAAGACTTAAGTCTGTGGAGGTTAGGAGGGGTCCTCGAATTCACCTCCATCTTTAATTTCCAGTTTTGTATTTTGCTTTCCCTGTACGTATTTTGATCATCATTCAATCAAAGGAACCAAGTCATTCTAGTTATTTCTTCCGAATTCCTATTGATTCTCTTAGCTCAAACGTTTATTTTTGTCTAGAACAAAGGGAGTCCTAACATTCACCACATCTTTTGCAATACATTTCACACTCCACCCATCTTGTGATTAGATTAACAGAACAAGGCATAATACAATTGAAATCTTTCCAAATAAAAACTTTAAGGTGTGTTTCTTTTCACAACTCAAACTCTTTTATGTCGGAGAAAAAAATTATAACAAAAATAGTTGAATTTAAATTTTTGTGAGAAAAAATACTGTGAATCCCGTAGTGTTTTCCACCATCTGCTATCCACCGAAGTCCCTGAAGTGCTTTCATCACAGTTCACACCGGGCCGCCAAAGCTGTTCTATAACCAGTCGAACAGAGTAAACCTCTTCCCTTTCTCTTCAAAATGCCGGCACCAAAGATCATTATAGATCCACCGATTATTTGTAATCTTTTCAAAATCCCATGGATTATTTGTAATTATATCAACCTTCCAATAGCTACTATTATCTTCAGTGATTGGAGTTACCTGTTGAAAGGAGTAAGGCCGAGGTAACCAAAGGTCACGAAACGCGAGAGTCTAAGCACTCGCCTCCTTACCCCAAGATGTAATGGCTCATGACCCCACAACAGACTTCTCCAAGCATACGACACATTGTGGCCAAAATAATAGCTTCTAGGAAAGACGAGTGTAGGAAATACTTTGCCTTTAAAATTTTGGTATGGAAAGACCTAGGAAACACTGTTTAGCCAATAGGGCTTGATTAAAAGTGCCCACATCCCTAAAATTGAGTTGGTGCTTTCTAATATATTCATTAGATCTTTTTTTTTTTTCGAGCTTCTCTATTGATAGGGTTAATTTAATCGTTTAATTTGTTTACTACCACATTAAATTAATAAAATATGTAGAATAAATATTATTAATATATATTTGACGGTTGGAAATAAAATTTTTTGAGAATTCAATTTTTTTAGGCCTATTTGAAAAATCTCTTGATATTTTGAACATTACTAATTATTTTTTTATGCGGAAGAAAAGAAATAGGAAAAAAATAGTAAAAACATGTTTTTTTTTTTCCTTTTTTTTTTCTTTAGAGAAATGAAAACATTTAAAACCCGTTTGATTTATGCATTTAAGTAATAATTCTTAATTTTAATATTTAAAATTTAATATTTTTAAAAAAATACTGTAATAAATTAAAATTATAAATTTAAAAATATATAAACAAGGAGTGAAAAGCCAAAAAGACAAATAACGAAAATTTACAAAATCAACCCTCGACATAGTCCACAGTAAGATCAAACCGGACAGGAAGGAGGAAAAGAGAAAATTCGAGTTCCGCTGCTCCCGTCCCCAGTCTCCTCCTCCTCCTCCGACGAGTAGAAAGAGTCGGAAATCGGAAATCGGGAATCGGAATGGATTGGAATTGGAGCAGAAGAGAGAGATTATTATCATTCCTCTGTTTGTTTTCTCTTCTCCTGGTTAGTACTCACTCAGTAGCTCTTTCCTCCTGTTTCTTCTTCTTCTTCGCTAATTAACTGTTTATTATTCGCTAATTAAGAGAGATGCAGAGATTATATTGTATTAACTATTAATATTTAATCTTAATTATGTACTGTACTGTTATATTCATTCATTCCATATGATTAATTAACAGTCACAGCCAAGGTCTTTGGATGGATCTCCGGCTGGTACACCAAAATCGTCGTCGTCGTCTGTATTTTCATTGTTTAACCTCAAAGACAAGAGTCGTTTCTGGACCGAGTCCGTTATTCGCACCGGTACTCATTAACGATTCATTTCTTTGCTTAAATTTCATTGCTTTGCTTTTACTTACTTAATTTCATCTTTTAATTAACTAATTAGTTTCGTTTCGTGTGTTTTGTTTGTTGTTTTTATTTCAACTTGCAGATTTTGATGACTTGCAATCTTCCACGCCTGCCAAAACGAGTCTTCTCAATTACACCAAGGCAGGTAGGTACTAGTAATGCTAGTTATCTATCAAAATAGTTCTCCAGATTTCATTTCTTTTTCAATTTTGCGTTTTTTCAACTTCTCCTATAATTATAATTATAATTATGGGCAGGGCTTTAACAAAACATTCTTCTTTCTATAATACATACATATACATATAATTAATGGTTCAGGTAATATTGCAAATTATCTAAACCTTCTGGAAGTTGATTCCATGTACCTTCCCATCCCTGTCAATTTCATTTTCATTGGCTTCGAAGGCAAAGGAAACCTAGGTATCTGTCTCCCCTTTTCTGTTTTCTTTCCTGCGTTTTCTTTCTATTTCATATTATTCTCGGGCCTTAAGTTTCCCCTCGCTTCTCATTTGTCAAAGAATTTAAGCTTGAATCCAAAGAACTCGAGCGATGGTTCACGAAAATCGATCATATATTCGAACACGCTCGAGTCCCGCAAAACAGAGAAGGCTTTGACTCATTCTACAAGATTAGCTCCGACAAAGACCAACGCCACCACCACCTTCCGATCGTCAGTCACATAAATTACAAGTAATGCTTCTTTCTTCTTTTTCATTAATTATCTATAACTACATTGATTAGTTGGACTCTGTACTTGTTTAAGTAAGAAAGTTGTTAAAATTATCATCATTCTAGTAATATAATTATGATGGTTGATTACGCCTCTGCAGCTTTTCTGTTCATGCAATATTAATGGGAGAAAAGGTTACGTCGATATTTGAGCGTGCCTTGAATGTTGTAGCCCGCGATGATGACGTGTCCGGTAACAGGTAAACTGGTTATAATGTTAAATCCTCTTATATTTGGTAGTTTAGCTTAGCTGTACAATATCAAATTACGTTGGAGTTTTTCTTTTCCCCGTTTTCTAGCTCATTTATCTCACCTATGACTTATAGCATCCAGTTCTTTAGTTGAAGTATCTCAAATTCTGGTGAAATGAATGAATCACTAATGTGATACAGGTCAATCATTAGAGTGGCCTTGAAATTCCGGTGACATGAAACAAATCGCTAATTTGAATTGGAATGAGCTGAATTATAATTATATTTAGCTGAAGTGGGTTGTCAGGTTCTAAAATGTTTTTGAATGCTGGTTGGTCAAGTCAAGTAAATGTTCATTGGTTATTTGCACAGATGGTTTGCAAATTTTGCATACATGATAGATTTATAACTTGAATCATAAAAAAGGAATTTATAATTGTTAACTCTTAACCAAGCAGTGCCTCAAATCTCACTTATATTAGAGTCTGCATGCCTTGTCAATGAAGGCTCATTAAATACACAAAATACTACTAGTTAGACTCGACAGATATTACGGTCTTAACATACAATTGGACTTTGTCTTCTTTGCATATTCATATCACAAATGACTATTTATTCTTCTCATTCCTTTCCAGGGAAAATGGTGACGCTGTTTTGCAAGTAGATGTGGAACTTATGGATGATCTCGTCAGTAACCTTGTTGAATATCTTCGGCTTGAAAATGCATACAACATTTTCATTCTGAATCCGAAGCGTGATGCAAAAAGGACAAAATATGGATACCGGTTCGTACTTTAGTATCACTTAATGTACTTTTCCTGGAACAAGAAAAACCTTGAAACCCCTGCGCCAAGTTCAGTTTTTGGCTTTAATACCACCTCTTACACCAGTTAATTCGCGAGGCACACTTCACTTTGCATTCTTATGCTGACCGTGATGATTCACATGTTTAGAGATACAACAGCTTTAAAATGCTGGCATTATTTGTTAGATTTTGACAACACTCAAGTATTTCCTGTCTAAGTTTTCATTTTTTTAACTGCTGTTTCATTCCCTTTTTCTCTTGTTATGTGGATACGCAAATGTCCATGTTGTCATGCATTTGCCTTTTTACTAACTATTTCTCAATATTTTACAGAAGAGGTTTATCAGATTCAGAAATAAAATATCTCAATAAGGTATGTTAATTTGTTTCTTGGTCTTTTTGCTATTCTCATAAAACTTGTGCTTCTTTAGATGATAAATATCTGTTATTTACTTTGTCTTAATCATCTGTTATTTACTTTGTCTTTATTAATGGGCTCTAAGCATATTACCTTTAGCAAGATAGTTTTTGCTTGCTTTGATTTTTAAACAATAACGCTTATCTTTTATAGAACAAAAATTTGCAAAGCACGATTCGTCAGTCAAGAAGCACCCCGGAAACAGTCCTTGGTATGATTTTTTTTTTTTTTTTTTTTTTTTAAATTTGGCGCTGAAATTTTTTGTTCTGAGTTCTTTTTATTTTCTTCATGAATATTTAAAATTCTTTATTGCATTTCGGTTTCCTCTGGAGATGTATTTGTATATCATCTACTAATTCTAAGGATTCCAAATGTAAAATGCTTACAGCTTTTGAAAAGATTAAGAGGCCTTTGTATGAAAAGCATCCTGGGGTAGAGTTTGCCTTGAGAATAGCTGAAGATAGCAATACAGTCAGTATCTCTTACTTTTGCCAAGTTCTTGAAAATCTGAAATTTATCGATTAGCTAACATAATCTAAAAGTTTGTGTAATTCAATTATTATTTCCAGGTAGAATGGTACAATATGTGCCTGGATGCACTAAACAACATTGAAAAGTCGACTCGAGGGAAGGAAACTGCTGATATCATTCAGAGCAAAGTTTTACGGGTATATAGTCTTTCCCCCCTCTCTTTACCTGTTTACCGCATTTAGATTTTTCTTGAAATATTAAGGTGAACCTCAGAGAATCAATATTTTTCTTGAAATTTATTTGATTTTTCCCCCTCTTTTCTATATCCAAGATATTGAAAGGAAAGAGCGAAGATATGAAGCTTCTCTTTGAAAAGGAATTAAGATCTGGAGATTTTAGTGGTGTCCACGCAGAGTGTCTCACAGATATGTGGATCGGAAAGGACAGGTAAAAGTATACTCTCTTTATTAATGCACAACTTGAAAAAAAAAAAATGCTGGAGTTTGCAACTCATTTACTATACTAACACTTTGTATCAGATGGGCTTTTATTGATTTGAGTGCGGGCCCTTTTTCGTGGGGACCAGCTGTTGGAGGAGAAGGTGTGCGAACAGAATTGAGCTTACCAAATGTAGAAAAAACAATTGGTGCAGTTTCAGGTACTATTGTGCCCTCCTCCTCTTATCTATCTTTTAGTTACTGTTCAAATTGGAGCAGTTTTTCACGCATGGGCTCCAAAAATAGTTTCAAGTATTGGCTGATCGCAACTTGTCTTCACGAGAAAGATCCTTTTCTTTACTGTCTCACTTTAAGTTGCAACCTTTTACATTTGGATAACTTTTTCTAGTGAACTGTGGTGTCCTTACCTCAGTTATAAGATGGTCCCTTCTTTCAATTGATTAGAATCGTGGAAGACTTATGTTGTCTTATATAAATTAATTTTGTATCTTGTACGTAAATTTGTTGAGTTCTTGTATAATTTTCAAATGTTTCTGACCATAGTTTATTGTTTGCAGAAATTTCAGAAGATGAAGCAGAAAATCGCTTGCAAGATGCCATTCAGGAAAAGTTTGCTGTTTTTGGGGATGTAAGTGGTTCTGGTGAAAATAAAATTAGTTTAACATTCCATTTTTATTCATGCATTGTTATCAACTATTCACATTTGATAAAATTATGATGGGTTTTTTCCTTCCTATAATAAGTAAAATCACGTTTAAACTTATAGGATACTGTTTTGGAGGTCAATTTTAATCACTTTATGTTTTAATTGATGTTGGTTGTGACTTTTGCAGAAAGATCATCAAGCGATTGATATTCTTCTAGCAGAGATTGATATATACGAACTTTTTGCTTTCAAACATTGCAAAGGAAGGAGAGTTAAGCTTGCCCTTTGTGAAGGTATTCCTTCTTCTTCTTCTTCTTATTCTTCATTTTTTTCTTTTTTCTTTTCTATAAGTAACGTGAGAGATCTTTTTCTCACTTAGAGCTGCCGATTTTTCTGTGGGAAGCAATAAATGCCACTTCTCTCTTTTGGTCTGTTGCTTGCTGGTTGTATTGTTTGTGATTGTTACTTCCTTGAGATCATAAACTTAAGACAACCCTTCTGATATTCTTTGGTTTTAGAACTTGATGAGCGAATGCAGGATTTGAAAAACGAGCTCCAGTCTTTTGAAGGTGAAGAATATGATGAAACCCATAAGAGAAAAGCCATAGAGGCATTAAAGCGAATGGAGAAATGGAACTTGTTCACTGAGAGTCACGAGGTACGTGATTGGTGCCTTCTAATCAGTTGTGGGAGACTGCGAATTATTGGTTATTTTTCCATTCAAACAAGGAACATGCTTTTAACTTGACATTTGAGGTGTTTTTTTTTTTTTTTTTCTGTGGTAATTATTTGTCATACAGGAACACCAAAATTATACAGTAGCTCGAGATACTTTTCTTGCACATTTAGGTGCAACATTGTGGGGATCTATGAGACACGTCATATCACCCTCCATTTCTGAAGGGGCGTTTCATTATTACGAAAAGATAGCTTTTCAGTTGTTTTTTATCACACAGGAGGTACCTTATGTTTGTTAGACTGTTAGAGAAGCTTCAACACCACAGGGTTATGCTCATCACATTATTGCATTCGTGCAGAAATTTAGACGTGTTGATCAATTACCTGTAGACCTCGATGCTTTAAAGAATGGGCTCTCCTCTTTGTTATTACCTTCGCAGAAATTTTCTTTCAATCCCAACGTGTATGCTTCCAAGATTGTGGTTTATCTCTCTCTGTTTTCTTCCACACACCCCCACCTCTTTTTGTTTTTTTATTTTTTGGATTGTGGGGTGTTCTTATTAACTAAAATTGCATAATATTAAATGTTGTATTAACCTGAGAGCGGTTTTAGGCTACCTCTTTCGGAGGATCCTGCTTTGGCAATGGCATTTTCTGTGGCACGGCGAGCAGCAGCTGTCCCACTATTGCTTGTTAATGGAACTTATAGGAAAAATATTCACACTTATCTTGATTCCTCCATTCTTCAGTATCAACTGCAGAGGCTGAATGATCACGGCTCTCTTAAAGGTGGGAATTTTCTCATTTATTCTTGCATGGAATTTCTTTTATTTGGCAGACGAACATGAAGAGAACTTTGTGTATAGGTTTCTAGTAATTATTACTGAACTAAAAATGTTCTTTTCATTTTTTATTATTTGTGACTAGAGTCGTTCACCCTATATTTGCATTACGTTTTCATACATGTAAACGTAAGGCTATTCATTGGATTTTGGTACCCATGGAGTTTTGTGTTGGGTAGTGCAATGGTTACAACTTGCTAGTATTTATGTTAGTAATTGGTGATGTAAGATGTTTGAAGTTCTGCGTACAAGTAATTTTGGTTCCAAGTGTTTGCATTGCCCTTAATTAGTGTTCCATACCCTTTTCATCGTCTTAAAAATCTGTCTACTTGGATTTATTATATGCTTTATATGCTTCTCATCCTCTCATTTCAGAATATACTGCGATGATGCTTTTTGAATTGACATAAAACTTATTTTCACTAACCATGCAGGGAGACATGCTCATAGCAGGTCCACACTAGAAGTTCCAATCTTTTGGTTCATCTACGGCGAGCCATTGTTTGTTGACAAACATCATCGGGCAAAGGCACTTTCGGACATGGTTATTGTTGTCCAGTCAGAAGCCTCATCCTGGGAAAGCCACCTACAGTGCAACGGGCAGTCAATTTTACGGGACCTAAGGTCAGCTTTTTCTCTCTCTATTCGGTTTCTACAAACCCACTGATTTCTTTATGCTAGACCAGTTTTCAACAACTTATTTTATGTATATTATTCTGGATTGTTTCTGTTTTTGTTGAACTATCTATGCAAATACAAACCTACTTGCTTTATCGTGCTAGGCACATGAGAACATCATTTCTGATTTTGATTTTATTTTTTGTTTTTTTTTATTTGTTTTGTTTTGTTTTATTTTTGGGGTTCCCCTGCTTAGGAAACCCATAAAAGCTGCATTAGCAGCTACGTCGGAACATATGGCTGGTCTCCTACCCCTGCATCTTGTTTACAGTCAAGCCCATGATGCTGCTATGGAGGCAAGTAACCTAGAATATGGTTTACCTATTGTTATTCATTTTCGGATAAGCTTTTTCTTTTCTTCTTCTTCCTTTTTTTTTTTTTTGGGTGAATTTGTCCGGAAAAAGTAAAATAAATGGGTTATATCATCTACAACATGACAGGACTGGATCTGGTCAGTTGGAAGCAATCCTCACTCAATCACTAGCCAGGGCTGGCGCATTTCGCAGTTCCAGTCTGATGCAATTGCTCGTAGTTACATCATCACAACTCTTGAAGAGTCAATACAAGTGGTCAACTCAGCTATTCATCATCTAGTCACAGAGCGTACCAGTATCCTTGCTCTTACTAGTATATATATATATATATGTATTTTTTTTTTTTTTGTGCAGTCAACCGATGAAATCTCTCATCGGCAGAGCAGCTTTCTTGCAATCCAATAAGCAATTATTCGTGCTCAAGCAAGCAGTGTACTGTTCTCATTGTTGCTAGAACTGCATGCCACATAATTATGTGCGTCCTAGTTGGAAATACTTTCAACTTGTTTTTCATATTCGGATGCACTAGACTTGTGAAGTTGGCAAATTCCTCTTTCTTTTTTTTTTTGGTTTTTTTTTTTTTGTTTTGACTCCGCACATGCATTTATGCATATCTTTATATCTTTTTTTCCCCTGCTATTTTAATCCAAAAAAAAAAAAAAAAATCTGGTGTTAGAGACTTAACAAATTCAGCTGAAAAAACCTTTAAACTCTTCCAGTCCCAGGAGCGTGAGCTCATTAACAAGTATAATTATGTCGTTAGCCAATGGAGAAGAGTGAGTGAACTTGTCTCTTTCCATTTCCATGCTTGCAATCCTGCCTTTAGGTTCTTTTGATGATTTTATTTGCTGGAACTCCTATATTTGAAAGATTTTATAATATGATATTGCTTTCAGATTTCAACTGTTACGGGAGAATTGCGTTATGTGGATGCCATGAGGCTGCTACATACCCTAGAGGACGCATCTAAAGGGTTGGCCATCTAAGGCTCTTTTTGTTTTGATTGTTTCATGTGTTTAACTGGTGAAGAATATAACTTAAGGAAAACTCATCGCTTACTAGGTTGGCTTATTTGTGCATTCTGGCAACTCCTGCAGATTCTTTGAGCAAGTAAATGCAACTATAGCTGTTCTCCACCCGATTCACTGCACAAGAGAGAGGGAGGTGCACCTTGTGTTTGACATGTCTACAATTCCTGCCTTTTTAGTTGTCTCGGGTGTCCTATATTTCGTGTTAAGGCCAAGACGACCGAAGCCAAAGATTAATTGATCAAGTAAACGATTTTCTTGACATATGTTTAAGGGAAAATAATAGCTCACACATTTTTCCCCCTAATGCTGAGGAACTTGTATGATGTCTTATGCCTGGATTCATCGGCTGTGAAAGTCGTGATACTTGGGTTGGGAAAGTAGAAAGGAATTTGGTGAGATGAGTTGGGTGAGGAAGAATAGCCATAGTGTTGTAACTCATTTCCTTCAAATGGTCAAACACTTTCTGTGGTCTTAACCCGTTGTGCTGCAAAGTCGTATGGAGTTATAGGTTGCAATGTATCCAAAACTGAAGTTTATTGATGGATTTTGTATTCTCACTTGTTCCATATAGTTTTAATGAATTTTTCCTTCGAACTTGTTCCATATAGAGTTTGTATGGATTTTGTCCGGTTGTAAATTTGTACCGCAGTTCTAACCTTCAAACTCCCTTTCTTTTCTCAAGGGTCCACAAATAATGATAACTTACAACATGACTCCTTACAACATGACTCTTTATATTTGAAACGGATTAATTTGTATCTGTACAAAACACGAGAAATAAACAAACAAGAGACAAAACGACAAAAGTTTTCTTAAATTACTATCTTTTTTGGTGCCTGCAAGTTTTGGCTAGTAATAGTAGCTAGGCAGTGAGAGTGTCGTTCGAGGGCTGTTTGGATAAATAGACTAAATAAAAAGTATTTTTAAGTAAAAATTATAAAAAAATAAATTGGGTAAATAGGCTAACTTTCACATAATCAATTATGCTTTTAGGGGTTTCTTTCTCCTCCTTTTCCATTTTGTGCCATTTTCTTCTCCCAGTCGCCTTTCATTTCTTATCTCTTCTTCTCAAGTCATCGTCGTCACACAACCTCATTAACATTATTATCTTGCCCATTCAGCATTTTTTTCTCGTCCAAAACGAAGTTTGAAGAAGAGCTAATCTCTCATGGTGTTTTTCGTTGTTGTTCATATGTTTTTAAGATGAGAATATAGTTAAAAATGTTAAAAATCCATTAAAATAGTAATTTTACATGGTAAAAGACCAGTTTACATTGTCTGATATGATGAAGATCTATTGGGTTTAGAAAAAATTGGTCGGTTCGTGGTTTGTTCTTGGTTTGTTCTTGGTATGTTCTTAGTATGTTCTTGGTTTGTTCTTAGTCTGTTCTTATAACATGGTCGGTTCATGGTATGTTCTTGGTCTGTTCTTGTAACATGGTCGGTTCGTGGTCTGTTCTTATACTTGGTCGGTTCGTGGTATGTTCTTGGTTTGTTCTCATTACATGGTCGGTTCGTGGTCTGTTCTTATTACATAGTCGGTTCATGGTCTGTTCTTGGTCTGTTCTTATTGTACGGTCGGTTCTTAGTCTGTTCTTATTGTCTGTTCTTATTGCACAGTCGGGTCTTGGTTTGTTCTTTATTTGTTCTTATTATATGGTCTGTTCTTGGTATGTTCTTATTATATGGTATGTTCTTGGCCTGTTCGTGGGATATTTGGTTTAGTTTAATGACATTATTATCTTGATTAAATTTTTGCAGTTTTTAAATCTAAATAATGGCTTAGTGGAGGATTTTTTTTTTGACATTGGAGGAAAATGGGAGGAGAATGAAAGTTGTTGGGTGTGACATACAGACTGTAATTTAATTGGCGTATATATGGATGAGAAGGATAATCTCGAAACCTTCGTTGATAAGGTTTGTTCTTGATTTGTTCTTATTATATGGTCTGTTCTTGGTCTGTTCTTATTATATGGTATGTTCTTGGCCTGTTCGTGGGATATTTGGTTTAGTTTAATGACATTATTATCTTGATTAAATTTTTGTAGTTTTTAAATCTAAATAATGGCTCAGTGGAGGATTTTTTTTTTTACATTGGAGGAAAATGGGGGGAGAATGAAAGTTGTTGGGTGTGACATACAGACTGTAATTTAATTGGCATATATATGGATGAGAAGGATAATCTCGAAACCTTCGTTGATAAGATTTGTAGAAAATGTGGAATTAATGGATAAAAACATTCCTTGCAGTTATCGTGGGTACCAAATTTGAAATAGAAATCGTTGCCCGTTGTAATAAAAGACAATGATGATTTGTTATTCTTCAGGGATATAGCCCACGAGGTACCGCTACACGTGATAATGGATGAGAAGTTTATGAATCCAAAAGAACATATTGATGGAGTCAAAATTAGGAGAAATCCTTTGCATGACAATTTTTTTGATCGTGATTTTATGGGTATTGTAGCTACAGATGAGTTTTCGATTCGTAATGATATTCCACCATAGTCGCAACCACAACTAGAGTCACAGCCACAGCTAGAGCCACAACCAGAGTCAGCCACAGCTAGAGCCACAACCACTTGCCATTTTAAATGGAGTAGAAGTTGTTGGTCCTTTAGTTTGTATCGACCAGACTGAGTTTGGATCATCTCATGGATCTACCTTCAGTGACGGATCTAGTTTAGAAGTTGGTCAGTACTTTACAAGTAAGAATGATTTGAAGGAAAAGCTGTATTTAATAGCTTTAAACAGAAAGTTTGCGTTTCGAACAACAAAATCAAATAAAGACGTGCTTATAGTAGAGTGTGTGGATCCGAAATATGTGTGGCGTATCCGAGCCTGCAAACTGAGACTATCGACAATTATGATTTTT